GGGGAAGAGCTGGGGTGGGGCGGGGGTGTGTTGGAGGGGGGCAAAAAACGGGGAAATGCGGAATATCTGACAACAATTTAAAAAAAATCTTAGTCTTAGAAGTGAGACAGGAGAAAGTATAATCTACAGTTAATCCCGAGATAACACAGCAGACATCAGATTTAAATGGCCCGAGGAAGACAATGAGAGTCAGCAGCCGAGTCGAGGAGAGGCTGGCATGCGGGCGAGAAAGAAGAGCTCGGGCAGACGCTTTGCTCTTCCTCGGTACACGTGACTCGCGGGTTCTCTCTAAACCCAACTCAGCAGGTCACCGAGCACTTAGCAATCCTCTGTGGGGACCGACATCCCTGTAGAGGTACCGGGCTTTCCCCAAATAGTGCATGTTCCCAACTGTGTGTTTCCTATTAGTGTGGGGCCCTGAAGGACTGGACTAAGTCTAACCCACTTCTCTCTCCTCAGCACCTAGTCTGTGCTCGGTACAGAGCACCGCAGTTATTCATCCATCTGTGAGGAATAGTGCATTTTTAAGGGAGCTGTTTCCTTACAGTGCTAGTCACTTGTAATAATGAAAAAACAGCTCTTCACTCTGCGTACTGATGATGTTGTTGGCCCATCATTTGCTTAGATCACTTTCTGAATATAAAAGTAATACCTGCTCAGTGTAGAAAGCAGGTATATAAATGTAAAAACAATAAAGTCATCCATGATTTTCTCCTCCAGAGTAATTGCTAACATTTTTATTTTTTCTCTTAATATTTTCATAGGCATATATATTTTTTATTATACAAATTTGAGATTAAACTGCATACATTTGTGTCCTTCTATGCCATATATCACGAACATTTGCCACATACTAATAAGTGTCCTTTGAAATAAGAAGTAATGGTTACAAAGTTTAAATACACAATAATTAACATAACCAGAGCCCTGCTGTTAGAATATAGATTCTTTCTTTTTTCCCCTCCTCCTATTTAAAATAACATGGCTATAGCCCTGGCCAGTGTGGCTTAGTTGGT